ATATATATATATATATACATGTACTATCTATAGTACATATATATATATATAATTACTCCAAACTTTAGGCTGGTTGTGTAAAACAAAACAAAACACTGATGCGCCCATTTAGGCCACAAAACAACTTATATACAACAATATATATATATATATATAAACAATTAACATAAATATATATATAGCATAAATATAATGACATACATTATAGCAATAATAATGATACTATTTTTATTGTAAACTAAAAAAATACAAACATAGCACTTTCTTTGCATTGTTATAGCTGGATGATTTAGTTAAAAAAACTCTTTATTGGTCATAAAATTGCAGCATCACTCAAGTAAGTAAACTGAAGTTGTTTACTGTATGTTGCATGAGGTTTAATGCACTGATTTGCTGAAGTGCTTGAAATGACTATCCTTCAGTCTAATTCCACCGAGGTTCCTCTCATTCTGCTTTCTCGCTCCATTACTCTGTCTTTTGTTCTGTCTGCTGGCCTGTCTGTCTGTAGTTTCTTCACACCCATCTAGTTCAAGCCCATAGACTCTTTGTCCTTCTCACAGGAAAGAACAAGACGGGAAGAGGAGCGAGCGAGGAATAAATAAAGCTGCATTTTCTTTTCCTCCCAGACTTCTCCTAGCCACTCTTTGTGAGGCCAACAAAAGCAGATTGGTTCGGGGACTTACATCGCAGGCAGGGTTTCTGAGATCTTCTGAAACAAAGATCTGTAATTGGAGTCTGATTGGATGGGATGTGTTCAGATCTACATGAATGCGAGCTGCTGTGTTGCTTGGGGTTTTCCGTGTCTTCTGAACAGCTCTCTGTTCTGAGCGCTCAAGGGTCTTAATGGAGCAAATCTATCTTAAAAGCCATTTTGGTTTGCTTTCATCTGGACGTATGTATGGCTTTTGGCATTGCTGTTTCTGTTTTGATGGATGGTTGAGTCATGCCTTCTATTTATTCAGCGCTGTGTACTTAGAAAGAGTGCTGAAATGTTCTGGTGAATTACATTAGTCAAGCATCAACATTTGTGCCAGCCGACTGCAATGAGCCACCTGTGTCATTGGATTTCTTTGTAAAGGTGTGTGAGTTTGTATTCAGAAGACTCTCTCTGTGTGTCTCTGTGTGTGTGTGTGTGTGTGT